TATCTTCACAGCTTTACCAAAAGAAAGCTAATGTGAAACTCATCGTACCATCAGCCTCATGAGCCACATAACAAAAATACTACTCAGAATAATTATGATGAGAATGCGAAATAAAATTCTTCCAGAAATAGCCCAAGAACAGTGTAGATTTATTGAAGGCAAAGGCACTGTAAATGCCATAGATATGACACCAGAACAACAATAGAACGTGCCCCAGAAGTTCAGAAAGATCTTCATTTATGTTTTATAGACTACACCAAGGCATTCGACAAAGTTAGGCACGACAAGATCATCGACATGCTGGAAGTCCTCAATATTGACGGGAAGGACTTAAAGATTATCAAGAACATGTACTGGGATCAAACTGCTGCAATGAGAATAGAAAACGACATCAGGTAATACATACGAATTAAAAGAGGAGTCAAACAGGGATGTGTACTTTCTCCAGACTTGTTCTCCCAGAATAGTGAAAATATCATAAGACACATAGAACAAATGCCAGGTATCTCGATAGGGGGGCATAAGATAAACAATCTAAGATATGCAGACGACACAGTCCTGATAGCAGAAGACGAAGAACACCTACAGAATCTATTAAATGTCATCTTACAAGAGAGTGACAACATGGTCTAATGCCTAAACATCAAGAAAACCGAAACAATGGTGATAAGCAGAAAAACTCCAACCCCAACATGCAATATCAAAATCAATAATACCACCCTCAAGCAAGTACAATATTCTAAATATTTAGGGACAATTAAATGATCAGATGGGAAATGTCACACCGAAATTAAAAACAGCATTTGCCAAGCAAAAGCAACCTTCCACAAAATGAAACCAGATACTCACAAACATCAATCTGTCACTGGAAACGAGTACAAGAGTACTGACAAGTTACATCGAGCCAATCCTATTATACGGGTGCGAAGCATGGACAATCAATGAACAGCTGGAAAGAACAATTGTGGAGACAGAGTTGTGGTTCTTACACGCATACTACGTATCTCATGGCCAGCTAGAAAAAACACATGAAGAAGTCTTGATTGAAGCAAATTGCAGAAGACAGCTTATGACGAATATAAGAAAGCGACAGGCAAATTTCTTCGGACACAAAATGCGGAAAGAAGCTTTGGAGAATATTGTACCAACAGGCAAGTTTGATGGAAAGAGAGGCTGAGGCAGACAGTGGGAAAAGATACTGGACAAGATCACAACATGGCTAGGAGCAGCAAGAACAACAGACACCATTGCTGCAACGCAAGACAGAGTGAAGTGGAGGTCCATGATCGCCCAGGCCAGTCGGCAAGGCACCGGATGATGATGATGAGGATGATGATGATGATGATATATATAA